CGCATAACTCTACCATTCTCGTCCGCTCTGCAATCAGGTTGCACTATCAATCCAACGTTCCAATGGCCATCTCTGACGAGACACATGCGAACATGTCTTTCGGAGGGCGAACCCACCATCGCGCGTTTTGCTACGTTACGTGTGCGGTGAGAGTGGCGAAATGACGATTGGTGTGTCTGTGCGGCGATGTTTATTCATTTTGCAAGCATTCGCGTGCCGCCGCCGATGGGTTCGCACCATGGAAATTCTGGAAATGTCACTGTGATCGCTCTTTTGACAAAAACATTATATATGACCTAAAAAGTAATCACGCATGAATAAATATTCGGACAAATGTATGCCAGACTGACCTGGAATAGCGGTATGATTTTGGACATCCCTTACACTTTTCGGGACAACACTACGTTAAAGGTCGGCTTCATCAGAAAGTATGTGGCTAGTACTTCAACATATCCATCTGTCCTTTTACCACTTTGAGGAACTTCACCGGTTGGAGCTTAAATCAAATTTTCAGAGAGGAGAAACTTTGTAGGAGAGAAATACATTTTGCATCCAGTAGAAAATGGCGCAAGTCAGTGCTGCCTAATGTTACATGTTTAGGTCAAACATTTTACTTACTTTCATTGCAACGTTTAAATGATGATGGGAGTTAACCCCGATGAACAAGAATGGCTAACATAATGTTCGTGAGCACTATTCACGGACTTAATTTCGTGTGCTCCAGGTGGGAACAATAACAATTGTTATAATGATGTAAAAATCTATTAAGATCTTATCAAAAGATTTTAAGCATACAGCACTACAATATATATATATATATATATATATATATACTATATATATATATATATATATAAACGTCAGGATCAATTGCCGTAATACTTGTCTTCTTAAATATGGCAGCATGCCTGGTGCCTATGTTTTCTTCGACAGCGACTCCAGGTTTTGCACCAATCGTTTATCAACTTCAGAAAACTATATAAAATGGTGCCTATATTTTGTAACTTCTCCCTTGTTCTACTAACGTTGTCAGACATAAGCACAGTCACACAAAATACAAGGAAAACAGTTACAGGGATTCAGCTTGTGTTGGCTCAGGAAAGTACTTCAAAAGGTTCCCAAGGCTTGTGCCATATAGTTTTAATTCACGCAAGCTGCCCAGTATATTTGTGAGGAGCATTATACATATAGAGGAGACGGCATCAATAGCCTTATTCCTCGTACAATAAACAGAAGGATGGAGAGATAGATGTGATATTTCGGCTACAGTGCCTTGGTCGAAACGGATATCAGTAGTAGGTATTTAATTTATTTAAGTTACGTGCATCCACAGACATAACATGAATGGCACTTCCGATAAGGAAAATTGTCACGTCACATCCCAGCTGCTAGAGGCTGACCATCACGCAGTGAGAGCGTAACCCCCATATTCATTTGTCTGTTGATGGTAAGATCTCTTATGTACACGCCATGAATCGGTTACGGGTAGGGTAGGGGGTATACACGCGTGGTGTGGTAATCGGGCGCGGGGTACGAGTGTACACGTGTGATGTGTGTACCTCGTGTATGGGTATGGGGTGTACACGCGTGATGCGGGATAAAGCGGGTGCAGGTACGGGTGTGACACGGTGTGATGTGGTATTCGGGTATGGGTATGGGGTGGTGTACAGCGCTGTGATGTGGTACTCGGGTATGGGTATGGGTGTACACGCGTGATGCGGTAATCGGGTGCAGGGTACGGGGGTACACGTGTGATGTGGTACTCGGGTATGGGTATGGGTGTTACACCGGTGATGCGGTAATCGGGTGCGGGTACGGGTGTACACGTGTGATGTGGTACTCGGGTGTGGGTATGGGTGTACACACGTGATGCGGTATGCATCGGGTGCGGGTACGGGTGTACACCGTGTGATGTGGTACTCGGGTATGGGTATGGGTGTACACGCGTGATGTGGTAATCGAGTACGCGCACGGGTATATGCACGTGATGTCATGCACGTACGCACGTGATGAATCGGGTACTGGTACGCTATGAATCCTGGCTTCAGCTGCGGCTTGCATCCTAAACATAATCAACCAGCGAAGAAAGCTGAACTCGAGCTGCTGTACCAACAGATTTGTGATGAACATAAGGTGGGAAGGATCAATGTCAATCCAGACGTAAAAGAAAAGCTATTGTCTGAGGGTAAGAAAGAAAGAGGCGGTCATAAAAGTCGCACTGTCACCACCAGATTCCGTGACACAGCTGAAGGATTGAGGAATAGCGCTAACTTGATGACGCGCCAAGCTGGCAAGTCAGCTGGTTTCGTCCTGCTGAATCGCCCCGAGTACTTGCGTAAAAAATATTCTGCAGGACATCTCCAAGTTTGAGAAGCTCAGTATGAACCCCTCTGAAAAGGTGGAAAGCATTTGAGCCTGCCTATCACTATGGCCAGTTTTGAAGATGGTGTGACTAAATTCCAAAAAAAAAAATGGTGAACCCATCCAAAGATGCTTCTAAGGTAACCCCAAAACACATAAGGATGATAACTCCATTCGTTCCATAATCACCTGATCCTGTGCAGTTGGCCCAGCATTAGCGCCGGAGCCCGTGCAGTCCATTAATTGGCACATTCATTCGGGGTGCCGCCCTCGTCCGTGTTGAGCAAATGTTCCCCGGGCCGACTCGAGAGACAGAACAGGGACAGACAGTGTTGAGACAGAACACCCTGTCAGGCACTTCGGGTCCCTGACTGATAAAAGGGATTGCTTCAGGGACCCCGACCATTGTGAATCGCGCGCCCGGCCTTGTCCCTTCTAAGGAAATGGGCCGCGGAGCTCAGACTGACACGAAGCCGACTGTTCGATGATAGTGATTTCTGGCAGGAATAAAGGAGCGTTCTGCCTCAGGGATCCCCAGACGGTGCAAAAAGCCCCCTAACTAACATTTGAAATCACGGCCCTACGGCCGGGGTCCTTAGGTGACCTACATCCAGCGCTTCGGACCCCTCAGCCTTCCAATCGGGTCCTTGATCTTTGGCCTCGAGAAACCCTTCGACCCTCTCCGAGCACCTTCAAACACCGCTCCTGGCCGACTTGGGGTCACTGCCACCACAGGGCCCCTCTTAGGCATTGTAGTCCCTGACCGACACAGAAGCCCTCATCGTGTCAGGAACCCAGCAGATTGCAAGTCGTGGACCCTGGCCTCGTTCCTGCTTGGGAAATGAGTTTTAAGGGCTCAGACGGACATGGAGCCGACTATTTGGCTTTGTGCCGAGGCCCTATATACTGTGGATAAATAACCATTACAGGACAGCCCTAATAAAAGCCCTCTGACTGACATTTCAGACCACGGCACTACGGATGGGCGCCGAGCCCGAGTCCAAAAGGGCCCTTAATCTTTGGTTTAGAGAGGCCCTTCGGCCTACTTTTCAGACCCCCACAAATACGGCTCCTGGCGACTCGGACTACTTGCCTACACAGGACCCCCTGCTAATCACTGTAGGCCTCTGAGCGTAGGCCTCTGAACGGCACCCTCGTGGTTTTAGCGACCCCAGTTAATGTAAATCGCGGGCCGGCCTTGCTCATGCTTGGGAAATGGACCCCCGGGGCTCTCAACGACATGCAACCGACCGTTCACTGTTGGTGGTCTCTAGCCGAAATAGAGGCCTGCATTGCCCCAGGGGTTCCCACTTGGTGCAAGAGACCCTCTGACTGATATATGAGGTCACGGACTTACGGGCGGGAGGGCATCCTTAATGACTAACGGCCAGCCTTTGGGCCCTTCAGTCTTCTGATCGGGCCCTTGATCTTTGGTCCGAAAGCGCCCTTCAGCCCCTCTTTGAACCTTCTTTAACGAAGCCCGAAACCAATAAGGGGCCATTAGCCGACACATGACCCCCTGTTAGGCGCTGTGCCCGCTGACCCGCGCAGGGTCCCAATTATTGTCTCAGGGACACAGACCAACGCAAATCACGGCCCGGCCTTGCTCCTTCTGGCGGAATGGGCTCGGCTCGTGGCCCCTTGCGAGTACAGGACCCTCTGTTAGGCACTGTGGGCCCCTGACAGATACAGGGGCTCTGATCATTGTAAGTCCTGATTTCGTAGCTAATGGGAAGTGGACCTTCAGGCCCGTACTGACACGGAGCCGACTGCGTGTGACTGGTGGTGCATGACGGACATGTAGGCCCATATCAACTCAGGAGGTATCCGAGCGACGCAAAGTGTTCTCTGACTGTCATTTGAGGGTTCGTCGTCGCAGGCCGGGCCCCTGAATGGGATTCCGACCAGCCCTTCGTGACCTTGGACCCTCCAATCGCGCCCTAGATCGCCGGAACCGGTGAACCCTCCAATCTTTTTTGGGCCTCCTTGAACACTGCCTCTGACCGACTCGGGGCTCTTGCCAATACGGGGCCCCATGTCAGGCGCTCTGGGCCCTGACAGACGCTGGGGCCCCGACCAGTGCAAATCGCTGACTCTGGCTTTGTTCCCGGTCGAGAAATGGGCGCTCAGGCGCGCGTCGACACGTAGCCGACTGTGTGCTGTTGGTGGCGTCTGACCACTAAATAGGCTCTTATCGATTCGTGGGACCCCTCATCAGCGCGCAGGGTTCTCTTGCTGGTATTGGAGTTAAGGCCCCTGAATGCAACCACCGGCTGGTCTTTCGGGTTCCTCGGGCCGTCAAATTGGGCCCTGAATCGTAAGTCTTGAGGGGCGCTTCAGGCCTCCCGGAACGTATTGGGGGTACGTGCTCCCTGTGCCCCTCGCACTGGCTGGGCTTCTGCAATATTCTTTTCTGCGCTTAGCAAAACGTGCCGTCGTCCACGATAATTGGGAGACCGAAGATGAGCAGTCCTTGTGAAATGTACAGTCAGCCAAAATGACGTCATGTATTGCGATCAGCTGTTGCGTGTGCAAGCACTGTATCGGGGCGAACTATGCGCAATTCAGGCGAGTCCGGCGAAACGCGTTGTTCTCGCAATTTCTCGAGTTCTCAAGGGCATTCCTGCATTGCTCACGCGGCGATTGTGCCGGTGGTGTGCGCTATTCCGTGACTGTTAGGTAGATATCTACGTCTGTTTGTAGGCCGACGCCGTCTTTTACGATTCCTACTGGTACGTTGCTAGGTGATGCTGCAATGTGCTGTGAGGTGTGGATTTATCAGGCGCTAGGTTGCGTGCTCTATGATAAATTTGCTATTTTTTCATGACGAGTTTAGGCGCGCTGTCCAGGTTTTTTTCCAATGTACTCAATGCTGTAGGCAGTGTGATGCATGCTGCTCTTATGCTCAGTTAAGGTGCTAAACCCATGGTATTGGCTCTGTGAAATTTACACTAAAGTTTGGTGCATGCAACAGAGGTTCAGCTCGCTAATATATTGTTTTGTCTCATGCTGTGGATCGATTTTTCACAGAATGGACCTGGATAATGTGTTCTGAAGTTCAATTCTAGTTATTTAAGCTATATTTTGTCATGGTTGTCAGCAATTTCTTAAGTTTACTGCTTTCTAAGGACAACCTTCAGCTGTTGTACAAGTTGAGTGGTGGCAGGGGATTTTTGTGGTCTTCATGCTCGTTTTGTATAAAGCAGTCACAAATTTCAATAGCATACTCATCCTTATGAGATGTATGCCATCTTGGCAGTTTCAAACCCACCCAGCATATGATCATTGAAAGTCTGGTTTAATCACTAAAGGGATTGCTGAGCATATGAAAATATTATAATAATATTCTAACTATTCTAATAATTAAAGGAAGCACCAAATGTGGTGAAACAAGGTTGCCTATAAATGCTGGTATACTTTTGAAGTGGAAAATACTTTTCCAGGTGGCCCAATTCTCTGTTTAGTAAAGATGCTTGTCAATGTACCATGGCTTGATTATGTGATCATACCTTGCACAACATTGACTGACAGTCAACTGACAGCCAGTGATATCTGAAAATGGTGCCCACAAATTCCAGACATTCCAGTTAGATTTTTTGTGGTCTTGAGCATGGCATGGCTTATGGAATGGAAGGCTTTCAATGACAGCATGGCATGAATGCCAAGGGGACTTTGAAGTGCTCCTCAGCATACTTTCCCCATTTTTGCAGGAGTGTAGCTCGGAAACTAGGAGGGTTCAGGTCTTAAGAAAAGCAGGATTGAGAACACTGTAGAAATATTTTCAAGATAGCTTTTTTAGCTTAAAACCTCATGTAAATATGGAGCACTTCATTTAATTGATATAAGTGCTTGTCTAGCTAATGTCCCAGCAGCTCACAATCTTATGGACAGACTTTGACCAAAATTGTGATCCAGTGTCTTTGCTGATTGTTTGGTTTCGCATAACCAGATGCTGCCTGTGTAAATGTCAATACAGTGTTATATACCATTGCATAAAGCTTTTGCTTCATTTTTGTCACTTAACCAAGGATGTAGTTTTGCAAAATGGGCAGGGGGAGAGACTGAGCATTAAAATCTAATGTGACCTGCATCCTACCTAGAACTGCTCTAGCAAACAGCTTTCTTCCTCAAAATTGGGTGCTGGAGCCCAAATTGATGGTAGGAGCCCTGGAGCCCCCCCCCCCCCCCCCCCAATCAACTGAATTGCAAACTACACCTCTGCAATGTATAGCTCATCCCACCCATGTCTGCTCAAATCTGTGTATGTCCATGCCTGATTCTTGTGCCCTTGCCTCATCCCTAAAAGCAGTTATGTACTATATGTATAGGTGACATGGGAAAGCTGGTCTTTCTGGCATTCCTGTGTGCACTAACATTTCTGCCACTTGTCAGGAGACCCCGTGCCTTGCCCTTGTAGCTGTGTATATATATATATATATATATATATATATATATATATATATATATATATTGCTAGTTGTTATTCATGTGAGGCAGGTGTTGTGAGGTACTTTCTAATGTTGATTTGATTATTCATGTTAGGTTGTAAGTTGCATTTTGTGTCTGTTACATTATTCATTACATGATATATATGTTAAGCTGCAGGTTAGCATTTTATCTTCATGTCAGTTGCAATGCCTTAATGGCAACCTTTCATTACAGGTGTTTATTGGGCAAGAGCTCCTTCTCTTTTAAAAGTGTACCAAATGGAGGTGAGTACATGAGGATTATTTCTTGCATGGAATGGATATAACTGATGCAGCTTGATCAACCCATGTAGCTTGCAGTCAAATCTGCTCACACATTTTTGGGTGTGGAATTGTTGGCACAAAAATGTGTGTACAATTACATTTGGCATGATATTTTGTATTGCTTGATACATTTGGGAAAACAATACTAGAATTATGTAAGTCTTCAGCATCAACATAGACTTTTGTGCCAAACTGATACATGTACAGTGAGTTGTTGGGTGATGGTCTTGTTCTTGAAGTGCTGCACATCAAAAATATATAAAATGCATAGCATCGTTGTGCTATGTCTAAAGTTTGCAATTCAGAATCTAAACTTTGAATTCTAAATCTAAACTAAAACAAAGTATAAACCTTCTTTTTGAGTTGCTGCACATCAAAAATATATAAAATGCATAGCATAGTTGTGCTATGCCTGAAGTTCACAATTCAGAATCATTGTAGACTGTTCAAGTGTGCAGCAGTTTCTCAACACAGCTTGCTCTGTGAACCTGTACTCAACTATCCTAATGCTGTTAAAGAGGATGATTTTGTCAACAAGGTTTAACATACTGCAGTGCTCAGCATGGTCCACCCCATTCTCTGACGTCGACTCTGATGCCTTCCTGACGTTGAGCACGGTCGCTGCTGCTGACCGCAGGCCACCCTAGTCCAGAACAAACATGGAGCGTGTGTAGCGACTTGTGTACCAAGTTGATGTGTAGTGACTTGAATCCCCAGCTCGGCTCGGTTGGGATGGGAGGCTAGAACTCCAACCGATTGAGCTGCCTGGTCGAGCTGCGACGGCTTCATTCAGTGGAGCCTGCAGGCAACTGACGGATGTGTGAACCAGGATGGTCGGCATCTCACCAGTGTGCACTATGGGTGGATCATTTGAATTATGCTATGATTGCTCAGATTATGTAGATGTGTTCAGTTTGTCAGCTGATGACCTGACCACATTGTAGCAGGTCATCCTGATGGCCTATTGACATGGCCACCTGGTAACCAGACCATGTGATGACCTGACCACCTGGTGTCCTGACCATGTGATGACCTGACCATCTGATGACCTGACCATGTGATGACCTGATCACGTGGTGTCCTGACCATGTGATGTCCTGACCATATGATGACCTGATCATGGGTTGATGTGGCCATGTGATGCCCTGACCATCTGATGACCTGACCATGTGATGACTTGACCATGTGATGACCTGACAAGCAGAAAACAGGACCCTCTGTTGGGCTACACCCCTGATTGCTCTGACTGCAGCTGAGCCAGGACCTGGAGGAGGTGCGCCAGCTGCTGGTGCAGGCACGCCGCGACAACTCGCGCCGCGTGCTGACGGCAGAGCTGGCCCGGCTAGAGGCGCTGCGGGCCGCCGAGCCGGCCGCACCCAAGCCGGCGCCCGCCGCCCACAGGGTCTACGAGACCAAGCTCTCCGACTATGGTGAGCTGGACTTTGTCAGTGTGGTTGTTTATGTAGGTTAGGTTAGGTTAGGTGAGCTGGACTTTGTCAGTGTGCTTGTTTATGTAGGTTACGTTAGGTTAGCCGGCGTCTCGCAGAAACGCGAAATTGCTGTGATATTGCTCCAGCATTGCCTTGTTGAGAAGGAACTCATGCAGAACAAATTTCCCCATACCATTTAGTGTATTTGTATACGTGACTCGGAGCAATGTAGCTGTAGGATGGTTGGTGAATGATTATCCTAATTTCAGCACAGGTGGTTGAGAATGTAGTAAATTATTTCTTGGTTAGTTCTTCAACTGTCGCCCTGATTCGCCCGTTTTCATACGTTTTTCTTTACCCGTTTTCATACGTTTTCATGACCGCGTTCATGACCCGTTTTTCATGACCGCGGACTGATAGGGATAGGAGGGGGGGGGGGGGGACTGATGCGATCCCTGCCGTTTCCAAATTAAGAAATTTAGAGTCTCGCAGAACGTGCAGTGAATTGATCTCAACGAGCTCTTGCGACTGGTATTTAGGTTGATGTTGAAGGTCGATAATTAGAACCCGTCATGCCTGATCAAAGGTCGTTTTTTCCTGGTTACCGCATTATTTTAGTTTTGCATACCAATGCCTACCATGTCTCGTGGTTTCGTGGAACTCACGCAGACGCGGTGCTTATTTAGCTTTGTGCTCAATGATATCAAGTTTTGTGTTGTTTTTTTTTTCATTATTATGTATACCGACACGGATTTAGCATGTCGCCGGTTGTAATCGTCGGTTGCTGGCCGCCTCCCGCCCCGGCTGAGGATTGCCTTAACTGTTCCTAAAACTCGGCGTCACCCGGAAACCAGCGATGCTCCAGACACCGTTTTGTGTGTCAAAACACGCGCAAGGAATGCCCCAATGTCTACTGAAAAGTTGGACGCGATTACGCGACATTCTGGAGAGATGTCTTCAGTAAACCTTATGGCATCGCGTCTGCCCCCCCCCCCCCCCCCCCCCCGCCCATCAGCGCGAGGGTTAAGCTCTCCACGCCACAAGAAACGCCCACTGAAGTTAACCATTAAAATATTACGGAAGTCTGGCAGCCCACATGCATTTGTCATTGCATCTTCATCTAACGAACGTAAGGTCGTAGAGATAGGTGTGGAATTCTGGGGCGTCGTATGCCTTGTGTGTGCCCCACGCATGATCTGCTGATGATGATGTTGCCGCCAGCATGGGACCAGTCGGACAAGTTCGTCAAGTTCTACGTCAACGTGAAGAATGTACAGACTGTGCCAGAACAAAACATCCAGTGCACCTACACAGACAAGTAAGCTGATGATACATGCACCGGGCATAGTCTTGCGATCTATCGTGGGTCGTAATTTAACGTGGTTAAGCGATCATTCGGACCAGCGGGGAGTGGAAACTGACAAGTGGTTTGTGAAGATATGGTTGTTGGAGTTCAATGTTCGTTGACCAAACATAAGCTTAGTATGCAGTAATTTTGTTCCGCCGAATATACCCCCCTTTCATGCGACACATTGTTGCACGTGGTGTCATTCCTGAATATTCGGGATGTGGATCCTGTTGCTTGAAATGATGATCTATGTTATTGTTTAGTACGTTGCGTGTTTTTTATGTTGCTCGAGTAGACCTGAAAAATCGGTGCTTGAGTTGTTGGGATGTTACCTGGGCGAGTAAACAGGCTGTTCTTTCCAGCTCCTTCACATTGAGGATAGAAAGCCTGGACAACAAGAACTACAACTTTGCCATTAACAACTTACTGCACCCGATTAACACCTCGGCCAGCAAGTTCAAGGTCAAACAAGGTAATTAGACGGATTGGCGCTCCGTTTCGTATGCAATCTTGGCGATCCTTGGCGGCGCTCTGTCTGCCCTTCGCATTTGCCCAGTCGATCGGCACGCGGCCGGGAAACTTAAGAGGCTTTATATCCGTGAAAGCCCCGTGGTGCATTACTGGGTCTCCAGTGTGCGGTGCACCCCTCGCGCGAGGACACCTTTGCGGCCGGTGGGAAGCCCTGAGGAGGACATGAGCCAGAGGTATGGCCCGGTTTGTCTCGATGTCCGGCGGTGTAGGGCTGGCGGGCGCCGGCCGCGAGAAGAGCAGCCAAACCTGGCCGCCGCGGGCGACGGGCGGCAAACGGGAGCTTCTACACATAACGGGACTTATAGCGGGAGGCCGCGCAACATGTAATGCACGCTTCCATGAGGCGCGATCAAGCAGCGTGTATCGTAATGGGACCACTGGGAGCTTGTCGCCTGCCGCGGCGTATTTCCCAGCGGTCCGATTATGACCAGCGCTGCCTGGTCGTCTCTGACGAAGGCGGACGACCTCACATGTTGCGGCGGGCTGTCCTGCCTCCTGTCAGGCGGGCCCTTGCCTGATCGCCCCGCGGACGGGACCGTGACCGGGTGCCGCCCGCGGGCCGCGGTGTGCTGGCTGAGGAGCGGAGCGTGACGCGCGGCGGTGAGGGGTGTTGTAGCGAAGGCCGCTGAACACTCGAGCCGCCGGTGGCCGATCGTGTGGCACGGAAGTCCGGACAGGGCCCGGCTGGGGCCGCGGACGGTGGCTGTCTGTCCGATGAGGTCGCCCACACAGCGCGGCCGTCGGACAGTGCGGCCGCTGACTTTTCGCCTGGACAGTTCAGACATGCGCAGTTCCGCAGTGCCCCCTGTCCACACGGGTGGCTCCGTCTGCCGGTCTCCACTCCCGCGCCGTCGGCCTTGGTGTGTTTCCTTCGGCCCGGCCGTGTGACCCTCGCCCCTGTGGTCTCATGGCGTCGCCGCATGTGCCGCGTGTCGCTGGCTTGCTCTTGGTGGCCGGCTGCGGGAAGTCCTGCGTGGTGGATGACGTACAGTGGGTACGTTTGGAAGCGTGTTGGTCTGTGTTGCAAGACCACTTCACCTTCGCGATTGAGATGTTTTGTCCACATGTTTTGTGCGTGCAATTATGCCACGTTTCGAAGGAATTTTTTCTCTTAAAGCTTGGACGATGAAAGACAGATGCATCGAGTCACTGAATGTAGCTGTTCTTATGATACGACTCTTGCAGCTGGGCTGCTGCTCACCGAATTTCTATCTCCTCTCACCTGCCTTACTCCGCCGCGTGTTCGCCTTCAGTTCGTGGGCGGTGGACGACTGTCCGATAGACCGATGCGGAGACACCTCAAATGACTTGAAGGCGTGCATAACAAATACCCTGTGACGTTGCCGCCTGTTAGGCTTCAACCGTCAACTATGTTCCGTGTTTGCTATTGTGCCATCATCCGCGCACCTTCAACCGTCAGTCATGTCGTGTGTTTGGCAATGCTCCGTCGTCGACCATTGCTGTGCACATGTGTGCAGCGTATGATACCTCTGAAATTTGTACACATGTGTTCAACTTCAGACACATTTACATGTGTGCACCGTCCCCAATGTGTAGGAATGTTGACAGGTGATTTATGTGTGATGTGTAGTGGAGATTAACCCAAAGACCCCATGCGGACATCTGCTATCCACCCATTGTCTTAAGCCACCTGCTGTAGCGTCGCGTTTGGAGACCAGCGTCAACACGTTCTGACCGCCGCCTCCGGCAGACTCGGTGCTGGTGATGCTGGCCAAGCGCTCGGCCGAGCACTGGTCGCACGTGACGGGCGTCGAGAAGCAGGCCGAGGAGGCGCGCACATCCAAGCTGAGTCCCGGTGGCGCCGGCAAGGAGGAGGCGGCCGGCGCCGACCCGGCCGCCGGCATCATGGACCTGATGAAGAAGATGTACGACGACGGCGACGACGAGATGAAGCGCACGATCATGAAGGCCTGGTCGGAGAGCCGCGACAAGCAGATGACTGACGGCGGCGGCATGCTCTGAGGCGGCGGCGACGCGTCCTGTCGCCTGCGGGACCGGCTGACGTAGGCCTGATCGGGGCTGGGGCGTCCAGTCCGGGCCGCTCAGGCGGAACCCTCCTGCTTTGTACGCTGTGGACTCGAGACGAGTGAAGGCGGGCGCGGTGACGGCGCGCGTTCACCCGCTGGGCGCGGTGACGGCGCGCGCTCGCCCGCTGGGCGCGGTGACGGCGCGCGTTCGCCCGCTGGGCGCGGTGACGGCGCGCGCTCGCCCGCTGGGCGCGGCGACGGCGCGCGCTCGCCGCTGGGCGCGGTGATGGCGCGCGCTCGCCGGCCGAACGAGGGGACTATGCAGATCTCGTTTGTCGCAGTTGTGCTATTTCTGGCTGGCGTGCGGCGCCAGGTTGCAGAGGGAAGTGTACTGTCTTGATAATAGACGAGTCGCCTCTGTGTCTGGTTGTGTTGATGTCAGTCGGTCCATCCCCTCCGGCGAGAATGGATGGATTCCCAACATTGCTGCCACCTATTCGCACCTTTTCGGCTGCGTTGTTGTCTCCCTGGTGTAGCAAGGAAGTGCTGCCATCTATACAGAATGTATTTTTCATTGCACCACTCGTATTTCTGGTGGCAACACCCATCCTGCTATCTTGCCGAATTGCCACTGCGTTCTTTGTGGCTTGCAGTACCGTTGAGTATCGATCATTAAGGGATGAAGCTCCTGCAGAAATCTACTCTCCATTGTTGTGATCTCTGCGAGCACGAGAGGCCTCGGAAAATCTTGCAAGCTGGTCAAAGCCCTCTGTGCTGATTCCGCCCCTATGTACACACAATCTGATCAGTGAGGCGTAAAGGACACGGATGGGCGCTGCCGTGTGAAAACAGTATCATGCTGCCGGTCGGTCAATGTGACGCCCGTTAATCATCCGTTGTTGGCAGATGCGGGCGGGTGATGGTGTAAATCTAATCTTGCTGCCCATCCGCGTGTTTGCCCCTTATCTGACGAGGCCGCTAATGCCGCAAATTTCGCTGATCTTTGCCGGGTTATATCCCCATCCGCTGTTTGTTTTCATGAATCCGGTACATATCGTCCTATCTGGGGCCGCCCTGCGATGTCTGGCTCCGTTCTTTCCCATCCTGAGCCGATGGGCCCGCCCACGTCTCAAGAGCGATGCCACTTTGTCCCGGTCCGTCCCTGTCCGTCGGTAAACCCCGGTGGCATTCCTCACTCTGCTGTACCTCTGAGAACTTCTCGTCCTCACGTCCATTCTCCCGTACGCCCACCTGTGCCTTCCCCCTCTCCCCTCTCCTTCCTTCGTGTCCCGTTCACCAGCAGTTACTAGGTGACTCGTCCTTCAGCCACGGCGTGGAATATTCCTCACTTGGACCTGCGCAACATGGCGTCATCGCCGGCCTCGGTGGCGCCGCACGTGCGTCTGCCTCGGCCGCCCGCTCCGCGTCGGACGGCTGAGGGGGGGGGGGGGGGGGCAGCGGGCGGCCTTGGTCTTTGTCGCGCTGTGGCCGGTGACTCAGGCACGGATGTGGCCGGCCGCTGCGCGCGTCAGGCTCGTCAGGCGCCGCCGGAGGTCGACAGGAGGCTGCTGACGGCCGGTGAGCCGGCTTCGACAGGCAGGCGCTGGTCGCGAGGTGGAAACTCTCCAATTGGCAGGTGCACAGCCCTAAAACGTGTCCTTGTATGGGCGGGTTAACCCCTCGCTCTGATATCACAGGAAGATGCGCCCCCCTCCCTCAAAGTTTTCTGAGACAATTTCTGGCATGTCTTGCGATCGTGTTCAAGTTTTCTGTAACTTACAGGGCACTACGCGTGTTATTGTTATGACACCGAAACGCGTTAACCGGTCCTGATATCTGAACAGTGACGGTTTTTCCTGAGCACCGCACGGCGATTTACGGCAGGGGCGGGCAGTAACCGCTGATCGCGCGCGGTGACACAACGTCGTAGTAACGTAGCCCTACATCATAAATTGATGTGTAAAACGCCTCAAACTGCACATTATTGTGCTAAAGTTTAACACAATAAAAATGAGCGCGTAGCGCGGTTTCGTAAACATGGGCACGTAAATCCGAGAAAATGCCATTTTTGTGTACAATTGACCTTTTGCATAACGGGGCCAATGTTTGACCTTGCAAAATAGAGTGTTGCCCATCATGAGATATCATTGAGACCGGTCCACCGGTCTTTTCCGCAGGGCTCTGTCGTTCTTTCTTTGGAAACGGCAGAGGGGGGGGGGGGGGAGTTGCATTGACCCTCATATCAGTACGCGTTATGAAAAGAGGCGAATCAGAGTGAGGGCTTAGGGAAGAATTAGCCGTAAATCCCCACTTTCTCCATGCGTTTAACGAAGCCATGCCTCCGAAACAGCAACAAAGGATCGATGTTGCCTGAGGTGAGTCCCAAGGATGGAGGAACTGGCCGACGCGTGGACGAGTCTTTTTCTAGGAGATCAGCACGCAGTTGTTAAGTTCCACGCGACAGATAAGTCGACAAGTACTGAGGTTATGCTAATGGACTCGCCCAGATAACTTGCGAATGACTGCATTCCATTTGTTGTACTTGAGCCGGAGGAATTGCACTGTCCAGCGGAGGATAGAAACACCAAAGCATTCGCTTGAAATCTGATCAGGTGAAGAGGTTGGGTAGGAGCCGTTCAGAACCCGCTGCCCGCGACTTCGGATCAAAATTTTGATCGTCGGTTTTAACCAAACGCTTGAGCAAACATCTACTGCAGCCTGCAGCCAATACGCTTGAGGACACTGGCGGGTTCGGAGAAGGGGGAGGGTAATGAGACCCTCCACGACGGCAGTGAGAAGACAGAATCTCGACTCTGCAAACCTTTTTTGACAATGTGGCACTGAGAAGTGTTCCAGCGCCGATGCTTGCCACTGGATCCGCCATAAGTCGCCGTCCCTCACCCGGCCCTGCCCGTGGGCGCGTGTCACGTTCAGAAGCGAGCGGCAGTCAGGCCGGACTACTACGAACAGCTGCGATGACGCCAGCCCTGCGGCGCAGAAACCAACAAGCTTGGAGGCCGGCTACAGCTCTGTGGTTGGTTCGGTTGGTTGGAGCGTGCAGCACCGTGCCGTTCCTGGTGTGGCATATGCCGTTCCTGGTGTGGTATATGCCGTTCCTGGTGTGGCATGTAGCGTTCCAGGTATCCTGCTAACCTTCAGGGCAGGCAAGTAAGCTAGCCAGCCTCACTCATACCTCCGTGGCGGCATCCAAGGGACCCGACAGGTGCTCTGGACCCCACTGCCCGGTGGAAAGCAGGCATACTTTAGAATTAAGCTTGTTTTTAGCATGCATTCGCTTGGTATCTGACTACGGCCCGTCCTTGAAACTGGTTGCTGAATGCGCCTCTGAGTATCCCGCCCTCGCCGCCGGTCTGACCCTACACGCCCCGTGCGCAGCCGCCACGCGCCGCGTGGGCCGCGCGTGGCGGCGCGCCGCCGGCAGCTGTTGTGGGCCGGAGATCGATGCCCAGTGACGTCACGGCGGCGTCTGGCGCGTGGCGCGTGGGTTTCCGACGGCCGCGGGCCGGATCCACGGCCGCCGGCCGGTCGATCGGGCGGTCGATAGCCTGGCCCGGCCGCGGCGGCAGCGCCGTGTCGAGAGCAGGGCCTGAGGTACGGACGGCGCGTCCGGGACCTGGAGCAGATCCACCGGACCAGCAGGCTCACGGATGCCACAAGCCGGTGAACTGGTCCTAGGGCGGATGCGCTGGTCGTGGAGCCGGCCGTCTGGACCCGGAGCGGGTACACCGGATCTGGTGCAGTTTTGCTAGACCTTGGATAATGGGGAAAATGGTGAAAAGCACCGGTCCTAGGGCATAACACCGCACCGGATCATGTCTATTGTACCAGGAGCACAAACACGGGACATGGACCACGTGCTTCGGACTGGGGTGCATCATTGCGTCCCAGGCCAGGAGCAGGAGCCGCAGCCGCAGCCGGAGCAGAAGCCGGAGCCGGAGCGGAGCAGCAGCTGGAGTTGGAGCTGAAGACGGAGCAGCAGCCGCAGCCGCAGCGCAGCCGCAGTCGAAGCTGGAGCCAAAAACCAAGACGGAGCGGGAGCCGGAGCCGGACCTGGAACCGTAGCGGAACCGGAGTTTAAGCAGGAGCTGGAGTCGGGACCGGGGCGGGAGCCGGAGTCGGAGCTGGAACAGCGGCCGGGCAGCAGGGGCCAAAAGTCTTAACTTCCCTATTGCCAGTACGAAGCACCACGAATCGCAACGCGCGTTTTTTAGCCTTCACCGAAATGGCACAGGCCCCGAAATTCAAACCCGCGGCTTTCACCAGTCAGCACTGCGCACGGACCTCCGGCTCGTCTGGCGGCAGCGCGGGCAGGGCGGGAGAAACCGTCGGCGCCCGGGCCGCCCTGGCGTCCGCTCCGCCCCAGCGCGCCCAGTGCCGCTGCCGTGTGACGTAACCGGCCCGAGGAGCGGTCCGGCGGCGCCCGGTCGTTGACCGCACGCGGAGAAAGCGGCCACCGTCCGGGCGCAACGGAACCCTGCACAGGAGCAGTACAGAAGCCACACGACACCGCAGGAACAGTGGTACGGAGGGCAGACGGGGCTGGTGGAGGGGGTGGCACCGAAGCCAGACGGGGCCGGAGGGAGGAGTGATACAGGGCCAGACCGGGTCAGGGGGATGAGTGGCACACAGGCCGGATGGGACCTGACACGTTAGCTCTACAGAGGTCAGGCAGGAGTCAGTGGGGACCTGACAGATGAACTGCACAGAGGTCAGACGGGACCTGACAGATGAGCTGAACACAGAGGTGCAGAGTTCAGTGGGGGCCTGGCAGATGAACTGTACAGAGGTCAGGTGGGACCTGACCGATGAACTGTACAGAGGCCAGGCTGGACCTGACAGATAAACTATACGCAGAGGTACTGAGGTCAGAGGGGATCTTGACAGATGAACTGTACAGAGGTCAGTAGGGATCTGACAGATGAGCTGTACAGAGGTCAGAAGGACCTGACAGATGAGCTGTACGGAGGCCAGGCAAAGCGAACAACAGAACAGAACAGAACAGAACAGAACAGAACAGAACAGTCATCGGGAATGCATAGAACAGGCAGAGCTGTACAAAGCAAAGCGAACAGTACAGCCTCGGCAGAAAACCGAGGCTGTGCCGCACATACGAGCGGTGTAGATATCCAACAAGGCCTGACAGACGAATGACTCTGCCCGCCTAGAATTGCGACTTAGATGCCAGACCGGGTGTAGGAGCGGTGCGGCGACCGGGAGGAATCGGGAGAGGGATGCTGCGGGGGCCAGGTGGAACAGCTCAGTGGCTCAGAGGCCAGAAGGTGTAGGACGGAAGAAACGGAAGTAACGGGGAGGTGACGCACACGGCGCAGGGGCCAGGCAGACTAGTCGGGGGAGGGGGGGGGGGGGCCGCAGCGGGCAGATGGCAACAGGCATCTGAGGGGTACGCTGGTCAGACTACTGACGCGGCATGGGGTCAGACAGAGAGGCTTAGCTGCAGAATCACACCACCCCTGTCTGATGAATGTTTAGCTTTAGAAACTGTGGGGGCTATTGGAAAGTGGCAAGCAAGGTAGCGACGCTCATCCTTTTTATTTAGAGGGTCACAAAGAACCTGCACGTGTGAGGGGGCAGGAAGATCAGGGATCACATGGCTCTCGGGGGGTTCGGGGGGGGGGTTTAGGGTCAAATTTCTGTCCCCTCATCCCTCCACCCAACTGGACTACACAACGATCATCACGTAATCCGTATCATAAGTCGAGCGGCGCGCTGCAATATTGGAGGTGTCAGGAGGGGCGGGAAGGGGGGAGGGGGGAGCAGGGTGTGGCGTTACAATGTATTGGCATTTTCGCTCGTCGAGCCGGTGTTGCGTTCTGGACCAGTCCAGAGGCTTGGCTACCGGAAGAGAGGTGGCGCCGCCGAGAGGGGAGCGTCAGAACTGGTTTGGGGCGAACAAACGCCGATGCATGCATGCCGTCTTGGAGCCTGGCCTATCAGCGTCCTGGGACCGTCCCAGGAGCCTCTTACCGGCCTTGAGGCCATTTGGCCCCTGACGGTCCGGGCCCTTCGACCGGCTCGAGGGCGCCAGCTGAATGTCACGTGACGCCTCACCCCTTGTGGCGGGGATTCATTGGCCGACATGAAGGTCAGCTGACAGCCGCGGCTCGTGTTCAGCCGCTCTGGGCTCACGAGCCCTTTTCCCCTATCGATTTTCTTTGGGTGTATCGCTCGTTTGCCCAGCGGTGATGATCGATGAGGACATCTAACCACTGCAATCAAAAGCTTGAGGAACGTACGGAAGGCGGCGTTTTCGTAATGATCGCGGACATACGAGTGTCGAGTCACATACCTCTTTAAAACATTCCAACACGCCGCAGGGGCGCACACAAGAGCCCCCATAAATGTATGCGGATCCCCAGTCATCGGGAGTGCATGGAATAGGGATGTATTATTGTTTACAAGAGGGCGCCAGAGGGCTCCATTGATGGCCCATGAAAATAAAAAATATACGTTCTGTGCTCAGCTACTCCTCTCTGCACTCATCAACTCCGTGCCCATGAGGGATCCCCCTGGGGTCCCGATGAGGGCGTCTGTGGAGGGAGCCTCCTCGAGATCGGAACTCTTACGCATTTCCTGATTGCGCCAGAATCTACAGCAAACTTTAGCAGCACTGAGAGCTCGAGCACCCTTTCTTTAACGTTGTATGGATAATTTTACCCATGGAAATGTTGACCGAGTGCTGGCGTCCCTACTCTCGTTATTTCAGCCGCCGTTTTGACTGTCTCCCGACACGAGCTCGAGCTGGGGTCGGGAGATCGTGGTAGTTTCCTGGATCCTCCTGGAGATCATTTTGGAATTGCTTTCCTGTGCATTTTTGAAAAGCTCTGTCCCAGCCGGGCTGCGTATTTTTGGTGCGGTTAAGAGCACCATCCAGAAGGTTCTACGAACCACCGACCGGTGCAGACTGGATCCCTGGCGTCAACCATCGGCGTCACCACGTGGCTTTTTCCATCACAACGCAGTTCGCGGTGGCCCACCTCCCCGGGAAATCCTGCCCCCCCCCCCTAACCGACCTTCCCGGCCGCGTGACGCATGGGACTGGCGAATACCAGGCCTTACTTGGACGTGACCAAGGTCGCGCGCCGCGCCAAAGCGTCATCCCCGGTACTGGGAGCGCCCTGCCGAACCTGGCCGAACCCGCCGGCGCTGCGCCGGCTGGCTGACCTTAGGAGACATCGCCTTCGGTCTGGGGTTACGAAGCAGCACCGGCCGTGTGGGTAACCGCGGAGAAAACGCTCCCCTCCCCGTTTCGTTCACGGGTGGTTTCCACCGGTTTCGGATGTTGTCATAGTATGGTTGCGACCGCCACCGCCAGGGGCGCCTCCATCGTCCCGGCCGACGTAGTACGCGAGGCGCGACGCTGATTGGTGGCTGGGGCGCATGTGACGTCACGCGGCCGAGCCTATAAGTACGAGAAAGCGGCGGCGCCGTGAGTTCACTGGGAGAGTTCGGAGAGGTGGGGTGCACAGCCTGCCCTGCGACTGCTATTTTGTGAGGCGATTTTCGTGCACTTCCGTCGGCCATGGAGGCTCAGCGCGTTATCAGCGTGTCACTGGGCAAGATCGCGCAGAGCCGCGTGCAACGCTCAGGGTGCAGTCTGCACAAGTCACTGATGGTGGCGTCGATCCTGCAGAAGGCCCGGCACCTGTACGTCGAGCAGGCGTTCATGATGCACTGCCGTCCACCGGTGGCGCCGCCGGCAGCCGCGCCCGCGCCGCCGCCGCCGGCCGACCGGGCGCCGGTCTATACGGACCTCGACGAGTGCGGTCCGGCCGGGCGCGGCGTCGGCGGCGTGCCTGAGCCAGCCGAAGCGGCCGAACCGAGCGAGCCGGCGCGCCGGAAGCGCCTCATTTCCGACGAGGAGACTGAGGAGGCGGTGGCGTCGATCCTGCCGAAGCGCGCGCGCATCGAGCCTGACCCGCCGTCTAAGGACGCCGACTCGGACGACTCGGACGACTCGTGCTACGAGAGCGGCGACAGCGACGACAGCGAGGCGGACGCCATGGAGATCGACCGCATCACCAGTCTCGTCTCCGTGTTCAGCTTCGACAGTTTAAAGCTACGCCGGGCGGCACCCGAACCGTGGGAGCTGAGTGCGGCGGACCCCGTGGCGGTCCGTGCGTGACCGTCGTCCTTCTAGCCGTGAGCGGGGCCCGGCGCCGCTCCCCAGCTGTGATCTCTAGTACCTGACGCGTGACCGCGTGCCGGGCGCTGGCGCCATGATGGCCGCGACTCTGCCGCCGCCGCCATTGTGGAATTTTCCGCCGAGCGGCCGACCGTCGCCCGGGGCGACCGCCGGCGCCGGGCGGGCAGGGTGCTGCACAGGACCGGTTTTGCGCGCAGGGCCGGAACCGGGCAGACGGCCGCGGCGGTCGCCCGCTCGCCAGTGCAATGTTTAATCGCTCTCGTGTGGGGCCCTGTCTTCCGAGCCTGGTCCGAGCCGCGGATTGTGAAAGAGCGGGTGACGTGGCAACGCGGCCGGATTGGGCCGGCTGCCCGGCCGGGCGAGCGAGCGATCTCACACACTGCCGCATCATGATGAATCATGTTTTCCAATGAAGCTGCTGGCGGCGTCAATTGTGATCCATAATCTAGACTCTTGGAAGCGAGAGATGATAGTACTATTTTGTATATATTTTGTACATAGGCAAATATATTATCGTACGCATGTGTATGAAGTTTATGGGAATTACGACCCGTGGAGTGGGCCGAATCGCACTGAGACGAGCTTAAGACGGCTGGCGTTGGGACCGGCCCGGTAGCCAGTTCAAGGTCGCCGGAAGAGGACCATTCATGGCCTCGGGCCGGCCCCAGCCTCCGTAAACCCCGGATTCAAACGCGATCCCCGCCACCCGCCGACCGGCACCCTGACGCTACCGCCTGTTGTCGGGTCGCCGTCCGCAGCCGGCGATGGGGCTCGGGATGCGGTGCTCGCCGGCGGTCGCCCGTGGGGCTCGGGCAGATCCGGCAGCCGCCGGGCGGATCTGTGGCGTGCGCGGGAGCGGCCGCCTGACGTAAGGAGGGCGTCCGGGCAGCCCGCCGCCAGCCGCGCTGTCCGCTGGCGACCCAGCAGAAGTGGGACAGCCCCGGTCCCGGAAGAAGCGGCGGCGGGACGGCCGCGCCCGCCGACTCCTGGCTGGACGCAGGCAGCCGGTCACGGTGACGCGTAGGAGCTGACGTCAGCGTTTCGAGTCGCCGCGTCCGGCCAGGCTTGGGGCACGTGATAACCTCGCGATGACGCATCGTGACATCCGCGACTGGCCTCGGTGCAGCACGGGCGGGTCTGGAAGTTACGTCTTTCTTCTTGTCCGATGGAGACCGATGCAAACTGCTCGGTTTCTTTAAATAATCAATCGACAGACTTAACTAGTTTGCAATAACGTGTCATTGCAAATGCTGCTCTGCCGGAGCCATACCAGCATCGGGATGTAGGGAAACATTTGAATAACTCACTCGTGCGTCATCTGGCCACGTCGTTCCTTGTTATAGTCACGAGACCACTTGAAAACCGGACATTGGCCCTTCCCACAAGATTATTACGGCTGCGTCCATTTTGAGAAAAGGCCGACACGCGGCCCACAAACCTAGCCATGAATGCACGCCTTGTCTCGAGTGACGTCCGCACATCGAAAGTGTTGCCTTAGTGTTGTCCTACCCACTGAAGGGAATGGCCGAAGAGGTACAGCGCATTTTGCTGTGGATGAATATGATGTGAATACCTGGCGATCTTTTCCAACGCGCGGTTCTGCTCCTAGCCATGCTGAATAACGCTGTCCTTCAAAGGGAGTGCTCCACATTTGCATGGAGTGCTCAGATGAAATAGCTATGCTGAAGGTCATTCGTAGCGGTTCACAGTCCTGCTGTTCTTTAAGCCTAAACCTCTCTAGTTTCTTGGCTACACGCCCGCGGAGATGTGCAGACTTTTTCGTACAGACTACTTCAAGGTCACACATGCATCCATGAAGCCATAATGACGTCACTAAAATTCTGCCGCTGCATTGGCCATGCAGCGATCAAGGTCAAGAAAAATACAATTGCCGAGCCGTTCATATCTTTGTGAGCACGATTTCCAGATAAAGCGGCCGTCAATCGGCTCTTAATCAATGTTGCGCAAGGTGCGATGACACAATCAAACAATGACGCATCGAGGAGCATATTTACTACGTAGAGAAGTTGTGTTGACTAGAGCCTTTTCTAATAAGAAGCATGTCAATAGCTATAAGTGAGCTTATTTCATCATGTCTGATACTCGCTTCAATATCTTCCTACGCCGAACATTCTCTTCAGGGCTGGTAGTGAAAGAGCATCACAACAAACATTAATTGTGATGAAAGCCATTGTTCATTACTGGCGTGGACGTAACCAAACATTGAATGCCACTCGTGTCCATTTCCGTTTGGTGTCATTTATATCGTCAGAACACATAATCAGTAAAATCTTCCCAAAAGCTTCTACCGGGGTTCGGACTTCGCAAAGTGATAGAAATACTGGGACTGTGGCCCCTGCTGATCCCATTGGTGCTCACTAGTAACTCCAGCACATCATTTTCGAAGGAACGTGACGCGCAGTCTGCCGCACTTCCCAGCGGATGAAGACGTCATTGGCCCCGTCTACTGAAGCCGACACGCTGCTTCCCGCATCAGCCGTATGAATCCTGTCGAGAAGCGCCGAGGCTGATCTGACGTAGTCGATTCTCGCGTATTAGTCTGCCGCCAGCGGTGGTGTCAGGGCCTTGGCAATGTTTGCGCCGTGGAGGCGATACATCAAGGTGAGGCCCCTGCGGCTGCATACTGGATGAGGTGGTGTTTAACCGGTTGGACTTGATTGCAATTATTTGATGGTGGGGGCCTAGCGTGCCAGCTGTTTTGAACAAATCGACAGTTTTCGATATCACTAACCGTCACATATTGATGGCTACAAAAGTCGTCATGACATGGAGCACAACAGCGTCGTCGCCTTATAATGCAAATTATACTGCGATGCACTCATGATGTAACTCGGTGTCGAAAGTTGTTTCTGATCCTTCTCGGTCACAGGATAGTTCCCCTGCTGAAGCTCCAAGAATTCATATTTCCATTAAAGCAACCGGCGCATTATGTTGTCTCCTTTCGTACAGTTATCGCATGCATCTGTCGGAAGACCTTTGCATTGGACACGATACACTGCATACAAGATAAACTGCAAGGTATGGTTTCCAGCCTGTTTGACCTGGCGTACAATGGCTCGACACCTGAGTGCGACATCAGGTCATGACCTGCGTGCAGACCCACTGCCTCTGGGAATCTCGGTCATCTTCCAGAAGGCTGTATCAGTTACCGTGGCGAGCATAGGTACTATAACTCGGAGAGTACTTTAAGTGCGTTCTCTGACGTAGCATGTGGGACGTCTCTGGTCCTCACGACACTCATCTACTGAGGCGTTATGGCATTACCTCCTGTCAGGAAGGGCCGGCAACATGGGCAGTCAAACCCTGTACGTCTGGTTTCCAACGCACGCAGCTTAACTACTGTACTATCAGCAGATTAATACCATGACAGTCATCACGAGGAAAGGAATGCTATCCCAATCCACGGTTGCGTATAACCCCCAGAATTCGGAGCTCAGACTCGTTGTAACTCTGCTGTTCGTTGGTCACCTTATGTTCTAGGCTTTGTGTCTGCGGAGAGCAGCTAAACACGGAAGAGCCACGTTGGGAGCTGAACTGCACTAACCTTGACACGTAACCTTGACACGGTGCCACATGCGTGGAGCACCATACCACTGCTTCTGTGCGGCCACATGGAGGGAAAACGCGGCAACTACAAGGCGCTGAATGTAAACAATATTGGGCGAATTTTCACAGCTGTCTTGTAGACATTTGAATGTAAAGCAGCAGTCGTCCTTCTTTGTACCTGACATGGCACATCAACATTAAATGGCTTGAACTGACCATTGAAATTTTCCAGCATTTGCAACCAATCAGCAAACAAAGCTCATATCAATCTGTTTTGTGGTGAACGATATGCTTTAGCGGTGTACCAAAGAATGTTAAGCCCCAAAAGGGTTTAAATGCTACTACAGGTGTGTTTCATGGGCATGCTTAAGACGCTACGCTTTAGTAGAACGGACCATGAAGCAAACACAGGCCCCAGTTAAGTTTGAATTTCCGATGGGAAAAAACAGAAGCCACCCATTGCTTTCTGAGCGGCCCGTAATTTTTGTAGACGACCAGCACTGTCTCGTTCTGGTATGGGAGACGCCTTACACGCATAGGTGTAGGAACTTTGCAGAAAGTGGGTGTGGGAGGCAGGCTCATGGTACATTTGAGAATCTTTCACTGGGAAGACAAGCTCGGCGATCGGAGGGGTGGAGGCGGAGATGGACGAATTTGTCCGCCATTTGCTGCACCATATTTTGGAGATAAGTAAACCTCCTGGCTGCTTGTGGCCATGTTATATATATATATATATATATATATATATATATATATATATATATTGTTATATATATAGCTTGTTATATATACTTGATATACATGTAGCTATAATATATATGATTAAAAACAACTGCTGACTCAGTATTGACGAGCTTTTTCATGCATCGTTCTAGTTTCCGGGCCTTTGACTTGGCATCATCAAAGGCCCGGAAACTAGAACGATGCGTTAAAAAGCTCGTCAAAGCTGAGTCAGCAGTTATTTTTAATCAAACGTGTATAAAAGAAAGGACTGTGCCAAAATATTCCAATATACTGCTGTTGTTTTCCCCAGTGCACAACTTTGACCCCTTACCCTCCCCCCCCCCCCTCCCTGTTCCTACACCCTGTGAAAGGGCCGGTCCAAAAAGGTTCGCGGTGGCGTTTGTTGCAGTTGACAGCGTAGCATTTTCCACTGAATTGTCTGTCATGTCATCACCCCATGGGCCGCTCAAGGTAAAAACACCGTCCTTGACACCTTGCAGATCTAGCAGGCAGGCAGCAGCGTAGAACAGGAAATGTCGTGTCGCTACCTAGGCATCGGACGGCGTCCGTTTGACCGCGCGTTTGCAGACGACGTACGTTTGACCTCCGCCCGTGTTTGGCTCATGACAAGGGTATCCGATAGCCACCTGGCCGCGGGTCTCCCCACGCCGTACCAGCTGCCGCAGCCGCCGCTCCAACGTCTTCGCGAGGGTGGCGGAAGGCCCCACCTGCCCGCTGTCGCATCCCAGGCCCTCCGGCGCTCGTTCAAACGCGCTGCCAGCCAGCCAGCCTCTCCCGTTTCCACGCCGGATTTTAAACGACGGCCGCCCGCCGGCGGACGCTCCCGAGCCCCGTACGTCACGGGCCGTATCCGGGGCAACGGGCAGCGGCGTCGGCGGCGCGGGCGAGGCGGACGCCGCGCCGGCCGGCCGCCGACCTCTCGGTGAAAGCTCCATCTGGGTCAGTTTCTCGTCACGAGCGGGACCCGGGCGATTTAGGTGGGGCGGCCAGTGGGGACAGACGCGTGTGCGTGTCGGCGGAGTCAAGTTGGCAGCCGGGCTCAACGGGTTTTTCGAAAGACGGGGGTGTGCTTGTCGCTGATGAATGAGAGCAGGCGAGTGGAGAAGAAGAGAATAATGGCTGATATTCAAA